TGGTGTGTCCCTTGGTTAGCAGATGGTCCAAGACCACAAGCATCTCCCTTCCAAGACAGTCCCTTCCAAGCCCAGAGTAGCAGGAGAGCCAAGTCCCACCAGTTCACACCATGATGGCTCCAGGATCCAGGTGGAAAAGTCATCTCTTCCCTTCTTGGAGCTCAGGCTCTCTTGGGCATGTGCCTTCTGCTTGGCAGGAGGAGAGGGTCCTCAGAAGCTGTCTTCTCTCTACTCTGTCTTCTCTGCCTTCCAGCTTTTTGCAAACCCTTCTGCAGTCCCCATCCTTTGGCAGTATTTTCTCTTTCACTAGTCCCTCCTAAGTCAGAATTTCTCTGGCTCTGAGGATGTGGTGAAGTATAAGGTTGCCGGTAGTGGTGCCAGGCCAGAGAAAGGATCAGTCATTCTGCTTTCCAAGGGACCTACTAGCTTCATATCACTTGCTGTAGCCCTCAGACAGGCAGACAGGCAGGCTGTGGGAACCCCAGCCAGGCGGGCGGAGATGTCGGGATAATTTAGCAGGTGGCCTCGTTACTCCCAGATCTGTCGCCATGGTAACCTGGTTTTTTCTTTTAAAAATGTACAGTGCCAAGAGGAGGAAGATGGCTGACAAAATCCTCCCTCAAAGGGTGAGTGCCTTTCACAGCAGCCCCCAGCCAGCCCCATCCTTTGCTGCTCCGCCCTCCCCGCCTCCCTCAGGAGCAATGCTTTGGGCTCAGCGTCACAGCCACTTTCACTTTTTGTTTTAAAAGCTCATTAAGAAGTGAAGCTCCCTGTGCGGGCGGGCGGGCGGGCGGGCAGTCGGACAGGCGGGCGGGGCTGGACTGAGGGAAAGGAGCTGGAGAGCCATGGAAGGAGGAGGGGCAGAACATGGGGCTTGAGGTTAAGGGGGTTGAATGCCAGTGGTCCAAAGGCATAACGACACGGGACAAAGAAGGGATAAGAGACTGCTAGATGAAGGGCACAGAAAGTAGCAGAAGATCCTGGACATGAGAAAGGGTCGGCAGGTGTGGGGTTTCTGAGGTAACCGACACTATCCCGGGTACCCACAGTGCCTTAGCACTTTGCCGGGACCCACGGTACCTGTGTGATTAAGGTGATACCATGAGGCCAGGCACTTGCACCTGCTGGACTGCCGGCTGCTGCCTCCTTCCCTGGTGATGAGATGCAGGGATTTTCCTGCAGGGAGAAGCAATTTTTATCCGCACACAATGAGGCTATGTAATAGAATTCCGGGAACGAGTCCTACCTTCACTCTCAGAATTCCACACCCTGAAATCAGTCGGACAGCTCCCCTCCATGTCCTTTGTGTCCTGCGATCACAGAACAGGCGCACACTCTGCTTTGCAAGATTGACTGATACCTCCTTCCATTTGTTCCCCTTTCAGATTCGGGAGCTGGTCCCTGAGTCCCAGGCTTATATGGACCTCCTAGCATTTGAGAGGAAACTGGATCAAACCATCATGCGGAAGCGAGTGGACATCCAGGAGGCCCTGAAGAGGCCCATGAAGGTGCCTTAGTGTGGGGGTAGGAGGAGGCAGCAGGGTGCTGCTGGGAGGGTTGCACACTGCCCGAGTCCTGTGCTACACTTTATTTCTACAGCAAAAGCGAAAGCTGCGCCTTTACATCTCCAATACCTTTAACCCGGCGAAGCCTGATGCCGAAGATTCTGATGGCAGCATTGCCTCCTGGGAGCTGCGGGTAGAGGGGAAGCTCTTGGATGACGTACGTCCTGCCCCAGGTCTCTCCAGGTGTCCTGGGGTGGGTATGGGCTGAGTCAGGGACAGAACTAAATGTCTGCACTAGGAGTTGGGGAGTCAGCCCTGGCTGGGGCCGGTGGGCCTGGGGACAGTCTGGGGACAGAGGACTGCCTCTGAGCATACCACTTGCCTGCTGCCAACTTGGCCCATTCTGTGTCCATGGTCCCTGTTCTGCCCCCACAGTCCCTGTCACTTTCCCACAGCCCAGTAAGCAGAAGAGGAAGTTTTCTTCCTTCTTCAAGAGTTTGGTCATTGAGCTGGACAAAGACCTTTATGGCCCGGACAACCACCTCGTCGAGGTAAGACAGAATGTTTCTGCCCTTGGCCCAAGGCCCTGAAGAAAGCTGCTGATCTGGATTGAGAAGCACCCTGAAACCCTAAGCCCCACCAATCCAGCTGGGTCTGTGGGTGACCTAGCTCTTCCCCCGTGCAGTGGCACCGGACACCTACAACCCAGGAGACGGATGGGTTCCAAGTGAAGAGGCCAGGGGACCTGAGTGTGCGTTGCACCCTGCTCCTTATGCTGGACTATCAGGTTGGTTTTACCTTGTGCCTGCGTGACACCGAAGACCCCATCCTCCTCCTGCCCATCCTCTCTAGGAGCACACTGCCGAAGAGCCTGAGCTCTGTGCCGGAGTCCTACCTCTTCCCCTGTTGATCTAATTTTCCTGGAAACCTTTTCCCAGCCTCCCCAGTTCAAACTGGACCCCCGCTTAGCCCGGCTGCTGGGGTTGCATACCCAGAGCCGCTCAGCCATTGTCCAGGCGCTGTGGCAGTATGTGAAGACCAACAGGCTTCAAGACTCCCATGACAAGGAATACATCAATGGAGACAAGTACTTCCAGCAGGTAATGGATGTCCTGAGCCGGAGGAGCCAGGAGCAGGGCTAGTGTCCTAGCAGAAGCATGTCTCAAAGGTAGTCAGCTTCTCTTGCTGAGTTCCTGAGTACCAGGAATGGTCAGGGTTAAGGCCTTGGGAGCGAAGAGCAGGGGGTAGTCTGGGCTCTTCCATAATCTGTTCAGCTGCTCTCCACGGGAAGCAAATCTGGGAGCCTACCGGGGGTGGGTAACAGCGTCGTGTAATGTAATCGTCTTGGTACTCAGAGTTGGGATCCCTGGGGAACCAGCCCTGGGTCTAGACTGCGGGTAACTTACTTTGCTATTCTTTCTGCCTCTTGCTCTCTCTACATGTGTCTGGCAGCCATTGCAAAACGGATCTGACAAAAGTCTCTCAAAGCAGACTATTACTATTAATGAATTTTAAAATAAACACAGCAGATAAATCTGAGTAGAGATAGCGGTTGGTATTTATTGAGCACTTACCATGTAGCACTTCACTTATTTTTTGTACGCCAGGGCACCTAATTCTCATGACCACCCGTGGGATGGGTTGTTTAATATCCCCATTCTAGAGACGAAGGCACTTAGACCCGAGGTGTTAAGCGACTTGCTCCCAGGATGTGGTAGAGGGACTAACAGACACCCAAGCAGGGAGACTTAGGGCCTCACACTGGCCTCCCTATTAGCCACGCCCGTTTCTCCACTCCAGCCTGGCTCGTTGCCATCAGCATCCTGATCTGACTTGCTCTTGACTTCTTGTGGTCTTCCCAGAATGGAAGGATAGTTATTAGTTATTATCTTTTCAAATACACACAAGTGTGATCCCCCTCTCAACCATCCTGCTTCAGATTTTTGACTGTCCCCGCCTGAAGTTCTCCGAGATTCCCCAGCGCCTCACAGCCCTGCTGCTGCCCCCTGACCCAATTGTCATCAATCACGTCATCAGGTGAGGCCGCCCAGCTTCCTCCGAAGACCGAGAGATTAGCTCATTCCTGCCCGCCCTGCTTTTCCCACCCTCCTCATGGACCCTTCCCAGCCCCAGCCCCAGCCCTGGGCTTCTGTGGGGTGTACCATGGACCTCAAAGGCTGGACTTGTCTGGCAGCGTGGACCCATCAGACCAGAAGAAGACAGCATGCTATGACATTGATGTGGAGGTAGAGGAGCCACTGAAGGGCCAGATGAGCAGCTTCCTCCTGTCTACAGCCAACCAGCAGGAGATCAGTGCTCTGGACAGTAAGGTGCGGCCTGAGCCCAGAGCTATAGGGGGACATTAAACTGAGAGAGAGGACAAAGCATTCAGACCACAGCATGGGCCTAGGACATGAGGAACCCACAGCCCTCCCTACTGTCGAGAGGCTGGCCTCATTCCAAGGTCGGCTCTGCTCACCCTGCCCCCTCACTAAACTCAGAGGAAGCAGGGGCTCTGGGACACTGCCCAGAGAAGCAAGCCTCCCCCACCCCTTCTTGCATGCCTCTCCCGCATCACAGGTGGAAATCATTGTCTTTCTACCTGTAGATCCATGAGACGATTGAGTCCATAAATCAGCTCAAGATCCAGAGGGACTTCATGCTAAGTTTCTCCAGAGACCCCAAAGGCTACGTCCAAGACCTGCTCCGCTCCCAGAGCCGTGATCTCAAGGTGAAGATAGGGGCTCAGGGAGCCTCGAAGTGAAGACAAGCACATGGGGAAGGAAAGATGGACATGCAGCTCAGCCAGGTGAGGTGCTCAGAACTCAGGGCAGACCCCATGCTCCCTCACAGGTGATGACAGATGTGGCCGGCAACCCTGAAGAGGAACGCCGTGCCGAGTTCTACCACCAGCCCTGGTCGCAGGAAGCTGTCAGCCGCTACTTCTACTGTAAGGTAATGGAGGCCCTTGAACATGAGGCTCCCCTCTCCTTCAGTCCTAGAAACGTCTTGCTTCTCACCTGTCTTTGCTACTGCCCACTCTCAACCCCTGTCCACCACCCTGCATGCCCATGCAGGCGTGTCCTGGCTCCCAGACTCTTCCAGGGGAGGGGCGCCAGGATGGGGGACCCCTGGTCACTCAGCAGGATCACTGTAACCCTGCCCCTGCTCACACCTCCTCTAAAGATCCAGCAGCGCAGGCAGGAGCTGGAGCAATCGCTGGTCGTGAGAAATACCTAGGAGCCCGTGGACGAGCGTCACTGTGGACCAGCCAGACCTGCTGCCCGGCATCGGCCCTGGGCTCTGGCCTCCCTGCCCTGCTGCCGTGGCGGGGGGTGGGGAGGACTGGATTAAAGGTCACTCATCAGACAGCAGCCTTGTGGTCACTGGGGATTGGGAAGGGAGGAGGGGGAGGAGGGGGGCATGGCGGTGGAACCTGCAGGCACACTCGCCACAAGCCTCCCAGGTTCTTCTTACCCCTAGACCTAAAAACAGTTTGGCAGAAGATACTTTTAATAACATTTCTTATTTTAAAAAAATACAGTGGCAAGCCCTCCACCTGTCCATCACCTTGCCTTGCCCTTCCTGGGGCGATGGCAGACACAGTGGGGGGGGGCTAAGTGCTGTTGGCTTGCTCCTGTTCAAACAGCGCCATGGCCAGCTGGGTGCGGGCCCCGAGCCCCTCCAGATTGCTGAGGCGACAGCGGTGGTACAGTTCCTCACTGAGCCGGGGGCTACAGTCCCGCAGGGAGAACTTCTGCACCAGCCCTGGCTCTACGGCTCGAAAGAGGTGGAGCCCTGAGAACCGGAGGAACACATCCATCACCTCCAGCCCCTCCAGGGCTTCCTCCTCTTCCTGGCCTGCCAGTTCACCAGCCAGCCGGGCTCGGGCTGCCAGGTAGTCGGCATTGTAGAAGCAGCCCTCTGCTGACGCTTGCCGGTCAAATCTGCCCCCAACTGGAGCCCCCCGAGAAGGGTCCACACCAGGGGACGGGGGATCGGGGCCAGCCCCAGGGACACCTGGGGGAGATCTCTGTGGTGACAGAACAGGGTTGAACTCCTGAAAGTGGACCGGGAAGAAAGCCTGCCAGCCCGAGATGGCATTCATACGGCAGCGGTTGAGGACTTCCGACCCAGGTCTTGTCCACACAGTGGTAAGGAAGAAGAGTGTGTCCACAGGGTGTTTCTTGGAGATGACATCCATGAGTCGTACCTGGGAAGGGGCCTCTGCTCGCACAGCAAGCCAGGCCAGCCTCGAGCCAGGGTACCGTCGTTCTAACTCAGCTACTGCAGCCTTCACCCTGAGAAATGGGTCAGGGCCCCCTCGGCCTTCCCGGGTCCCATAGACCAACAACAGGGTGAGCAATGCATGTTCGCGGGGCTCCAGAACACTGGCAGCAAAGGCCTCAAGAAAAGCCAGGGCGGCCGGAGCTTCAGCCACCAGGAGTGGCAGCACCAGCTGCACTCGGGTCGCCTCGGTGACGTAAGGCATAGGCAGGATTTCCACTCTGCTTAGTGGCCGCAGCAGGCTCACTCTGCGGGCCAAAGAGCGGCGGTGCCCTCGCTGGGTCACGGCTTCCAGCAGCAAGTCGAGGGTGTACTCCATGCCCCTCGAGGGGTCAAAGCGCCTGTAGCCGTTGAGAAGCCTCTGCTTCTGGAAGCGCAGGCGGGGCTGATAGCGCCGATTGAGCTGCTCCAGCGCAGTGTCCACCGCGTCCCCCACATCTGCCCTGCTAGCCCCCTGCAGCGGGCACTTGGGAGCCCCATCTGCACAGGCGAAGGTGTGCTGCTCTGTGAAGTAGTCCCAGCCCAACACCTCGAAGCGAGAGTGTGGAGTGAAAGGGGCTGGAAGCCCAACAGGCCAGCTCAGTCCTGCCTCCCCCTCAGGGGTCAGCACCGTCAGGTTCCGGATCTGAGCCTAAGTTGGAGGGAATGCAACCAACATTAGTGCTGGTTTTTAAAGATCCCTCCTGGCTCTAGACGCCCGGCTCTGAGGTTCCGTCGGCAGAGGCCTGGCTAACCACCTAGTGCCTTGCCTGAAAGTCTTCACCTAAAGTACGGAAGGGAGATGAGTAATTGCCCACCTGCTGTCAGGAGGATCCGGTACTTAGCAGAAGGAAATGGATCTCAAAACACAGCGCTCACACACTCACTCCATGCCCCGCCTCTGAAGACCCCCACACTACAGAATTCCCCTCCCTTCTGCCTTTTGGGCCCTTCAAGACAATTCTAGAAGCTTAGGAGTTTGTGTATTGCTGTCTCGGAGAACACTACTGTAGAGGAGTTTATGTAAGCTCCCGAGAGTTTACCTACAAATCTGATGGCACTCAAGTCAGCCCAGAGCTTACTTTACAGTGTCCTGAAGCCCAGGGTCCCTTGTCCCTGTGATTGTTCTAAATTTACAAAGTTAGCCTCTTTCTACCCTACCAGCCCCAAACCCAGCTCAGCTGCTTTCTCCCTATAAGCCTGCCTCAAGCTCCCTCTAACCTACCAGGCATGACCCTCAGGCACAGCTCACCTGCAGTTGTTCAATTTCGCTGTAAGCCCTCTCCAACTCCAGAGCACTGAAGCGTTTGTGGAGCCGGTACATGAGGGTACCCTCGGAGACAGGGTGAACGGTGAAGGCACTCAGGAAAGCAGAGCTCCCCTCCTTCTCAGGGTCCCTGTTCTTGGCCAGTTCGAAGGAGCGGTACTGTTGCCCCTGGAGGGACCAATTGGACAATCAATGCTGCACACATAAGCTGTTATTCCCAAAGCTCCCTCAGCCCTCCTTGGCAGGCATACCGAGCACTTCTGCTGCTTTAGAAGGTACAGAAATGCAGTGGCTCCCCTAACCTTCGTTTCTACTTCCGACACCCGCATTTTGGAACCAAGAAAGCAAGCAGGCAACTAAGGACATCCTCTTTCCCCGAGAACCCCACTGTCAATGAGAATACAGTCCTAGAAGGCCCTCCCAGTAGGCTGGTATAGAAGATGGCCTGCTTCTGGGACACTCAGCCTTCTGTGATAGAGCAGAGCTACCCAGTAGAGGGCTCTCTGAGCTTTCCACTGTGTGGGGTGGCCAACTCTAAAACGTTTTCATATTGTTCTTAAGTGTTTTGTGCACTGGGTGTGGAAAAGGGGCGGGGGGGGGGGGGGAAGCAGATAAAGAGGTTTATGAGTTCAGGCATCTTTCTGGCTTGTTCAGGGGTCCCTAAAGATACGCACTTTTTATGGCCCCAGGGCCGTAGGGTGAGCAAGGGAGAGCTGAAGGGGCAGGCTGGCATCTGGGAAGGACAAAAGGAAGGTCTCGAGAATTCAGTTTGGACAGCAATCATTCAGTCACTGCCAACCTTTAGGGGACTGGGACTGCCTTGAAGGGGCTGTCACCTGGTGCTGTGAGACACAGCCGATGCCCAGAGTGTCGATGAGGCAGCGGCCAAGCCATTCATCAGGCCGGGCACTGAGAATGTCCCCTCGGCAGCCATCCAGATGTGGCCGCAAGCGCAACAGGAGACTCCGGGACAACAGGTAGCCGAAGCCCCCGTGGCAGTACCGGGCCTGCTCGCCTGCACCAATGAATTCCTCTGCATGGCCCAAGTACAAGTCTTGGTTGATGCTAAGGTGACCAGCAAGCGCTGCCAATCTGGGGGCCTGCACGTATGTGTCATCCTGCATGATGAAGAACCAGTCATAGTCAGCCCCAAAGTGTGTGTGAAGGTAGCGCAGGGTCTCTGACATGAGCCAGGCGGGCCGCTCATCTCCATGAGAAACCACCTGCATCCCTGCAGGAGGCCGGGCCCCCCGCTGCCCGGTGAAGTAGAGTAATCGAGGGAAGTGATGTGCCACTGTCCGGTTAACAGCCACAGCCAGGGTGGACAGTGTGGCGCGAGAAGTCAGGACAGCCACCAGCAAGCGCTCACGAGAGCCCAGCTCTGTCTGGATATACCGAGTCCTGTGGGGAGACCAGAAGATAAGGGGTCAACTCCTGGGTCATTAAGGGGGCATGCACCAGCGTGCCCAGCACATCCCCAGGAATGAAAGAGCTGGGTTGGAGGAGGGGAGAGCCTGCCTCCCTCATCACTGATAACCAGCTACCGCAGAGAGTGCCCACTTGACTAGGTGCTGCTAAACTTGGCAAGGTGGAGGCAGGCTACTCAGGTGTATTCAGTGGTTAGCGCAGGCACAGCTCTGTTCAAAAATACTGGACATTAGCACTAATAGGCGAGATTCTCTCAGGCTTGGGGAGGAATAAAATAGGAGCAAAGCAAGATAGGAAATAAGACAAGTGTTTCCAGGAAATTAACACTGAGTAGCAATATAAACACAGCAGCAAACAGCTCTGGAATGAAGATCAGTGCCAGGGGACTATGCACACATCACCCTCACCTGAGAACCTTCTTGTAGGGCTTGTTAGGATCCCTGTAGTAGGGGACAATCCTGGGTTTGAAGTCTTCATCGCTTTGGTCCAGCCCAGTTTTTGAGTCTAGATTCTGCGGCCCTCCTGGCTTCCCCACAGCCTCTACACAGGGGTCTTCTCCCTCACCCTGGATCCAGGACACTCGCAGGAGGCTCAGGCTGCATCCCAGGGACAGCCCCAAGATGAGGGGGAGCGCTGGCCGCAGCAGAGCCAAGAGGGAGCTCAGTCGCATGGTGGCAGGCCCTGACATGGGATGCCCTGAGGGCCACGGTCTCAAAGATTAGTAAGGTAATGGGGCTCAGGCCAGAGCCCCACCGTTTTAACCGGGGAACCTGGAGTCAATGAGGTCAGCAAGAGAGAAAGGAGCAAAGTGTGTCGGCTTCCAGGCCCAGCATCCCCACAGAGTCTTCCCGACTCCCTGTCTGGTCTTCAGTGACCATGCTGCTAATACACCCCTCAACAAAATACTAATGTCTATGTGAACAACGCCACTTAACACTGGGATTGCAGTCTGTAGTCCAGTAGAAAGAGGAAAGAAAGCGCAACCCTGCCAAACCTAACCCCAAATGGACTACAGCCATCTGAAGCATGGCCCCAATTCAAAAATCAGCAGCACACGATGAAGAGGGGCCTAGGGTAGAGCACATGCACCATCCAAACAACGGCCCGACCAAAAGGGACTGGCTCAGCCAGTCCTGTCCTACAGATATCGTGGGCCACTCTGTCTCCTCAGGTTCAAGGGACTGCTGAGCTACTGCTGCAGGCCAGCAATGGAGAAGGGATCAGAGCCTCCTTCCACCCAGCTCCTGGGTGTCAAAGAAACTGACAGGCTCCAGTAATCCCCTCCCTGTCAGTTAAGATCACCAGCCACGCAGGGTGCATATACACCTGCTCACTCAACTGATGTGGACGGTCGCAGTGACTCAGCACAGCTGGCCACTCAGAGGAATGCGATGGCTGATGGAACCATTTTGCAGGCCGTCCCCCTCGGCCCTGCAAGGCTGTGGTGCCCACCTTCCTAAGAAGCCACTCTTGCTAGAGGCTATCAAACAAAGCCAAATAAAGAGAAAGCAACAAGGAAGACAGTAGCAGTTAGAGAAACGCGGGGGTCCGGAAAGGCCAGCTGAGGCTCACCACCTTCCAACAAGACGCCTGCCTGCTCCAGCCAGTGCCCTACTAGTTTCCTGGGCGACAACAGCCCCGTGCCAGCCCTCAGAAGAAGCCCCAAAGCGAATCCTAGCCGGTAGTCTGGAGACAGACATGAATCGCCTACGTCCCGCGACTGCAGAGAAGGCCCGGCGTCCAGGTGGGTTGCTCTGCGAGCCGGGGAGGCGGAAGGGAGGTCGCGGCGGACAGCAGAACCGAGCGGGTTCTCAGGCCGATCAGGGGGACAGGAAAACACGAGCCCCACGGCAGGCCGGGGCGAAGACGGAGCCGTCTCTCGGGTGACGGGACCGAGATCCCTCCCGGTGGTGAGCCGAAGAGCTCCGCTCCGCAGCCGCTGCCACCTCACAGCCCAGCCCTCGGCTTCCTCTTCCGCTGCCTGTCAGTCACTCGTGTCTATGGTGACCGCATCCGGCCCCTCGCTCCCGACGCGCGCTCTCTATGGTTGCTGTGCACCGCTCGGTTCTGACGCTGTGGCTCCTAACGCTAAGGCGGGTGAATCCCCCCTGCACAGAGATGCTTCCAATTCAGCCCAACCCTGTTAGCTCTAAGAAAGATGCCCTCTCCCTTTCTGAAGACGCTTCACCTAAGCCGACTGGTCAACACTAGCGGCACAAGAAATGTTTCTCTACTGAAATTTCAATACGGAGCTCTACTAGGTAAACAAGTCTCGGATGTGGAGCATGTGACCGGGAAGAAAAGACCTGGGCTAGCCTGGAACTCTCTGTAATCTGTAGTGCCAAGGCGGTGAGAATTGCTTTAGACAGGCCGTAGACACTAACACAATCCAGTAAGGCAGGAAAGTAGGGAATTAAGGAAAGACCAGTCACATGACTCACACCACGTGAAGATGCTTGACGCCAAGACTGACTACCTGAGTGCCATGCCTGGTGAGAGAACTGACTCCATCAAGTTGTCCTCTGACATCCATGCACATGGTTGCGCTTGCACACACGCACAAATACACGCATACATACATACATATATGCGTATGTATATACATATATGTATATGTATATACATATATGCGTGTGTATATGTATACATATATGTATATGTATACATATATGTATATGTATACATATATGTATATACATATATGCGTATGTATGTATGTATGTATGTATGTATGTATGTATGTATAGAATTAAGTGGGAAACCAAAGCAGGAAGAATTAAATTAGATTGGGAATGTGGACGTGCTTAGATCCCAAGTTTGAGAAAGGTTTATCCAGACATAAAGCAGAGTTTTCCAGGCAAAGAAGAGAGCACAGAAAAGCCCTGAGAGAGGAAAGAGATTGACCAAGGCCAGGGCAGCTAGAACCCAGCACAGAACAACCCAAGGTGAGCTAGAAAGAAGAGATGGCAATGGGCTCCCAGGAAGGACAGCTCCACACCTAGAGAGCTGCAGTTTGGAAATGTACAGGGACAATTTTGTTATCAAATGGTGCCAGGGTATGTGTGTAGGAGTGGTGTCTTATACATTGTAAGAAGGTATCCCAAATGAAAGCTGTCCTGATCTTACATACCTTTAAATGTCCTGACCATTATTCATTCATTCATTCATTCATTCATTCATTCATTCATTTGAGACAGGGTTTCTCTGTGTATCCTTGGCTGTCCTGGGCTTGCTAGCCAAGGACCAAGCTAGCCTCGAACTCACAGAGATCTGCTGGCCTCTGCTTCTCTGAGTGCTGGAATTACAGGCGTATGCCACCTCACCTGGCTAGTTGTAGAATTCATATCCTGTACCTGTGCAAAAAAAAAAAAAAAAAAAAAAAAAAAAAGAAGAAGAAAAGAAAAAGAAAAAGAAAAAAAAAGTAATTCTGTGGAGTTTGTAACATGTGCTGAATTCTTAGATTTTATTTTATGTGTATGAAGTTTTTTGCCTACATGTATGTCTGTGTACTATGTGTGTCCAGTAACCATTTATAGGTGGCCAGAACAAGCCATCAAATTGTTTAAAACTGGAGTTTTACATGTTGTGAGCAGCCAAATGGGTACTAGAGCTAAACCCGGGTCCTCCCTTTTAACCACAGAATCATAGTTCCAGTCCTGTACTAAATCCTTTGTTTTTTGTTTTGTTTTGCTTTGCTTTTTTTTTGTTTTGTTTTGTTTTTGGTTTGGTTTTCCAGACAGGATTTCTCTGTCTAGTCCTGGCTGTCCTGGAACTCACTCTGTAGACCAGACTGGCCTTAAACTCAGAGATTTGCCTGCCTCTGCTTCCCACGTGCTGGGACTAAAGGTGCGCACCACCACCATTGGCCTGTCCTGTGCTAACAACTCACATGGACAGGAAGAAGACTGTCAGGCTTTAGATGTACTAAGTTTCCATTTTGGAGAACTTTATCATTTATAGAGACGTACATCAGTGTTCAGAATACATTTGTGCTTTCACATTCATGATATTCTCTCTCGCCTTCATTGTTGAGCATACTGAAATATTATTTTATTACACAAGGTTTTCTTTTCCTTCTTTTTCTGTTATGGCCAAAAAACCTGTAATTTTGCCAGGCAGTAGTGGCACATGCCTTTAATCCCAGCACTCAGGAGGCAGAGGCAGGCAGATCTGTGCCAGCCTTGTGTACAGAGTGAGTTCCAGGATAGCCAGGGTTACTCTACAAAGAAACCCTATGCCCTAAAAATCAAAGAAAAGAAAAGAAAAAAGAAACCATAATTTTATATTATTTTAATGTATTTTTGACATGAGGTCTGATCATATGGCTTTGACCTTGGACTCACAGAGAACCACCTGCCCCTGCCCTTTCAGTGCTAGGATCACAATCATGCATCAACACACCTGGCTATAGCCACAATTATTATAGTTAAAGTAACAGGTGGAATTAACCTTATTAATTTTTTTTTACAAATTTTATTAATTTGTTAATTTTTATTAATTTTATTGTGCTACATATAAATAAAATATAGTTCAACATATGATCATTATGAAAAGGTACTGGAGTCATATTTTACATTTTCCATATGCAAACTTTGGAAATCCTGCTTTACAGGAAACTGCTTTACCGTCATAACGTGTGCCATCTGCTTTGTTTCCTTAAGACAAGGCCTTGCTGTGTAGACCAGGCTGATCTTGACATCCCCCCATCTTCCTGCCTCAGTCTCACAAGTGCTGGGAACACTAGTCTGTACCACCACACTGGGCGTGGCAGATAGGCTGTCTTAATTCTGACCGGCTGTATCCTAGGGACCTGGCACTTTCCGTACTACTTTTCCTGTTGCTGTGAGAAAATACTCTGAGCAAAAGCGACTTATAAGTAGAAAGGGTTTGTTTTGGTTCGCTGTTTCAGTCTGTCTGAGTATGTTCCAATACGTTCCAGTATGTCCCACTATATCTCATTATGCTCCAGTATGTCCCACTAGGTTCCATTATGTCCTATTATGCTCCAGTATGTTCCAGATGTCCCACTATGCTCCAGTATGTCCTACTATGCTCCAGTATGGCATCAGAAGCTCCAGACAGCTGATCACCTTGCATCAGGAGACCAAGGGAGTTGAATGCAGGTGTTCAGCCAATTTTCTCCTTTTCCTGCAATTCAGGACCCAAGCCCAGGGAACACTGCCACCTACTTTTAGGTAGGCCTTCCCACATCAATAAGCCCACCCCAAACAATCCCTCACAGTATGTTTGTCTCCTAGGTTATTCCAGAGTCTGTCAAGTTGACAAGCAACGTGAACCATCATAGTTACTTACAGACACTAAGATACTGAGCACTATAGTTCCAGTCCCTTCTTAGTCACTAACTCCTTAGGTAATACTGGACAAGATATCTCCTTCCTTAGGCCTCAGTTTCCTCATATTTTCCTCTTTTTTGTTTTCATACTTTTTCTTTTTTGTTTGTTTTGTTAGTTTTTAGACAAGATCTAAAAACCGTGACCCAGGCTGGCTTTGAATGTTGTCCTAGCTTGCTTTCTGTTGCTGTGATAGAATACCATGACCAAAAGGAACTTGGGAGAGGAAGGGGTGTTTGGATTGTAGATAATAGTCTGTTGTCAGTGGAAGCCAAGACAGATAACCTGTAAGCAGAAGCTGACGCAGACGTCACGGAGGAAGTCTGCTTACTGGCTTGCTCAGTTTGCTTTCTTACACAACTCAGGACCACCTTGCATTGGGATGGCACAACCCACAGTGGGCCGGGCTCTTCCACATCATCACTAATCAAGAAAATGCCCTCCCAGACTTGCCTACAGGCCAATATGATAGAGGTGTTTTCTCACCCGAGGCTCCCTCTTCCCAGATGACCCCAGCTTGTGTCAAGTTGACAAAAACTAACCAGGACAAATGTGAACCTATAATCAGTTCTTGCTGCACTGTGACTTCTTTGTGGCGCTTTCATATTTAGCCTTCATTTCATCTCCTCTTGTTATTTTTGTGTGTTGGCCTGCCTTCCTACTCTGGTGGAAAGGTGTCGAGACCACTCACAACTCTTGAGGGCTGCAAATCTGAGTCACACCTATGAGGATTGGGAAGGTATCCCAGCTCTGAGGTGGGACAGAGTCCCAAGGGTATCCTGAGACATGGGAGCCCAGGAACCTCACAGCTCTGAGACTGAGAGCACAGAGACGTGTTGCAGACCATGCTCCCCAGAGGCTCAGGTGCCTGGGCAAGTGTTTATGTATGTGTATGTGGCCTGGTGGAACTCACTGGCTAATAGACACCTAAGAATTGAACTAACAATCTTTCTAACCAATACTGGAGGCAAGTACTATCCTGTGTCATTCTCTCTCCGCAGAGGAAAATATGCGCTCTGTCCAAGGTCAAACTCTGAATAGGAAAGCCAAGCCGGGATTGAACAAAGCAGTGAGCGTGTCAGGAGTTACCTGCCTGATATGCTGTACCAAGTGCCAGCCTCGCCTCCTTGGTACACAGGGTCACTTCTAAGGCACTTATGTCATGGTCTATTTATTTTTCAAAAGTTCTTTCTTCGTAGCTCAGGAAATAGTGCAAGAGCTAACATGTGAGATCACATCACATTAAGACAAACCTTCACGGCAAAAGAAACCATTGCCTGAATAAAGGGAGAGCCAACAAAATGGGAGAGAATTTTTGCCAGCTACTGATCTGAAACAATTAATTTATAAAGAACTATATAAAGAACTGAAATAATTAACCATCAAAGGAAAAAACAGGGTTATCAGTAAATGGGCAAGTGAACTCAACAGACTGCTCTCAAAGGGCACAAATGCCCAATAAACACTTGAAAAAATTAACTTTTCTTAGCCATGTGGGAAACGCAAACCAAACCACACCAGGATCCCATCTCCCCATAGTCAAGAAAACAAAAATAATGCTGAGCACCTGTCTTTAATCCCAGCGCTGGGAAGCAAAGGCTCCCTGTGAGGAT